TACAGGATATAAATTTTGTCAGGTTCACTAACATGTAACACATTTATAAAATGAATTGATTGCTGGCTTTGGTTGATTATAAACTTTACCATAAAAAGTTAACTTCCCTGAACACAGAATGTAGGCATTACCATAGAAAATTCCCTTGAACACAGAATGTAGTTTTTACCATAGAAAACTCCCATGAATTCGAATTGGGGGGTTTACATTTTACTATAAAATGTTCCACTAAATGCATATAATGTACCGTTATCTTCTAAATGAAGCATGTACGGGTTACCATGTTTTTCATGTATGTTTTATATGATTGTTATAATATGTTTATCGTCTAAATAAAGCGTAAAAATAATATTAATAAGTGAAAGCTAATTCAATCTGTAACCTATTTATTCTATTATATTGCTCATATAAGGGTTATAGTGAAGGTTATGATTCCCGCGTACTACTCTTGGCTATAATTAGTGCTATAGATGTACAAGATTAACAATATTGTTAGAGCGATTCAGTAATTCTAAATATAACTCAACCTGTAGCCATATAACCAACTAAATAACCACGTTCCACAAATCAATATTGCGCAGAGCCTTTAAATCACGGCCCCGGGGAGTCCCAGCAACAAATGAAGGCTAATGACCCCGTCTGTCGTCATGTCGGTTAGTTATCCAGCCTTCTTCCCTAGCGACGTCCGAACCAGATTTATATCACTGTCCAGACACAGATAAAGAGATATCGAAAAGCGAGACATACAGAGATGTATTACTTTACTCATTTCAAGATGCAAATTTGTGAGCGGTTCCCTTTGATTTGCTGATATTGACGAAGTGGTTAAAACGGCTTTCATCTTATATTTCAGATGTGTATCACTGTCCAGACGTAACGATCAAACGATAGATAATATATATGGCCCGGTAAACAAGTAACTCTCATTTACATATACAGTTACTTTAAAACGTTCGGTTTGTGCACCATTATGAAACACTAGTAAGTCATTCATTCAAACATACAGATACTTTTGTGCGTTCGTCTGATACAATCTTCCCATATATTATACCAGTATTGCCATATCTTTTATAGCGAAACCCAAATGAAAATTATTTCCTTATAACAAAATCAAAACGTGCAGCGTAAATATCCAACTACAGACAAATAATCGCTTAATGATGCCTAATTGAGATATAAATACAATTACTTCCCACTTATTAATGACCGTGGAGCTTATGGCTTTTAGGTCGATGCTTAATAAAGAAAGGAAAGCAATGAATGGAATAAAATGTGTGTGTGTGAGTTAGTTTTATTTAACGTCCGCTTCCACCGAGGTGATATCGCAGACAAGAAGGAATAAAATGGCTTTGACGTTCTACTTATTTGCACCAAACAATTGAAAACAGAACTGAAATTTATTTTTCGGTTGTTTAATCCACATCGTGTGGGTCTGAAGTCACAGAATCTGATTAGTCTACTCCAGGTACACCAATCAATTAAAAACCGCGATACAGAATATTCCTCGACATCTTTTGAAGGGTTTTGACTGACCAGACATTTTAGGGGCTGTCAAATATCGAGTAATCAAGGTATTTTTTTTATTGTCGACACAGACCAGGGGCGTAATTATTTTAAAGATGTTATTGCAGTGACCAACCCTAACAAACTAACACCCAAACTGAATTAGATTTGCTCCTTATTCTGTACAAATTATATAATCATATTAATTAGCCTGTCGTCACGGTGGCTCAGTAATTTAAGGCGCTGGTTCCCTAAACCGGAGGACCCGGGTCCCATCCCGATGTTGAGCGAGAAAGTGGTTTCCATTTTCGGTGTAGTAGGCCAGAGGGACTGGAAAGGAACAGTGGGTCTAGTCGTTTGGATAAAACAAAAAAAACCGGTTCAATGTATACACCAACGCGTGTACATAAAATAACTATTAACAGATAGAATCGAAGAGTAGGCGGAATAACGCAGCATAGCATATGCCAGTCTTCAGTGGTGGTAAAAAAAAAGCGCGTTAAACCCAATTTCCCGTAATTTGTGTATTGTATTCGTTTATTGTTTGTTCGACGTTTAGCTGGGAAGTTATATTCCATTGTTAATTAGTAGTTACAAAGAAGATGTTCGGTGACTGATGATTTCAGTCTACATGATAGAACTTACAGAGAAAGAAAATTATGCAGAGATAATGAGGAATGGGTACACCAGGGAATTCAACTGTAATAATCTTTTGTAGGCAGGTCAGCTAATGGTGAATAGCCATATAATTTGTAATAAGATTCTATAGTTAGCTTTGTATTGCTGTCAGTTTGTGACAAATAATTTACTAAAATAACCAACGGCGACATAAACAGTACCGGTGTCGGCGTTTGACTTGGTACTAGTTTTTCTTAGTCACGAAATAAGCGACCATAGCCTTGCTAATAAGTAAAAAATATTTAAATAAATAAATTGAACATACAACACAATACCAAACATTTATGCTAAAAATAAACAGGTTAATTTCCAGCAAACTGTTTCAACATTATAAATCAATACTAGAATGTTATAAAGTGGTTTTCGTACCGACATAAACCCCGACACTGGTATTCTGGTGACCGTTTGTTTCCGAATTTAACCGAATCAAACCTGGTACGAAAACACACCAAGAAACAGGTATGCTAGTGACCGTTGCTCTCCGAAAATATATTCTGCCCATTAGCCTTCAGTTTCTGAAATCCAGGTCTAAACCATCGCTAAAAAAAATTACGGGATGACGTGCACGTAAAAGAACCCTTGGCAGTTTGAATTCAATATACGAGTAGGCCGTAGTGCCCATGTGTGGCGTATGCTCGTCTTCATTAGTCCAGGCGGAGGAGAACCGTAGGATGTTAAACCCCAACTCATTTAACTTAAACGGAGTTGACTGGTACTTGTAAAAAGCATAATATGCAGTAAAAATTGTTTACGTTGTCAGCGATGATTATGTGAAATGAAATGGGGCTTAACGTCCTACTGTTCTGCTCCAACTGGGATAATGAAGAGGGCATACGCCATACAGTGTGCACTAAGGCCAACTTTTATATCGAATTCTTACTGTCAGGGGTTCTTTTACGTGCACGCCAATGTGTACCCGGGACCTCGGTTTCAGGTCCCATTCAAACGAATATACGTTGTCCTTTGCCAGGACTCCCGTCCTGCACCAATGAACTTTCTCGGTCAACACCGGGATCGAACACGTCTTACTCACCGAGCCACCGCGGCTCCTTAAACTGTATGTACAATCCACCACGTGTTACCCTAAACAATATCTTATGTATTATCATTAAAAACTAAACCCCCAAAATAAACTAGACAAGACTCTATTAGATATAAAAGATTCATTTTTGGGCCTTCACAATAATCCGTGGGTGGGGAGAGGAGAGACATGGATCTCAGCAACTTCTGGAGATAAAGGATAACGTTGCCACATTAACCATGGCCACCCTCATATTGAGAAGTTGCGCTGTATAGGGTCTACATCAGCACCCATTTCAGAAACCCTGTTGCTAATGTAAGACAGTAATCATTGATTTCTACTCGCCAGCCTATCAGCAGTTAAACAAAAATATTGTCTCATAAATGTAAGGGTCCCATTTGAGAGATTTTAGGGTACGCACAAATTAATGAACTCATACAGGAGTCCTCCGGGTCCGTTTACTTGATATGATGGTTGAGTGATATTCGTATCTTTTTGTTGCTGCATGGCTTCTTGGCATTGGGTTGGTTATTGGTATATGTTGGCATTCCCCTACCACTCATTGTTAAAGAAAACTCTTAGTTAATTCGTTACCCTTCTGAACTGTATTTTATAATTTTAGAAGTCTTTACTCCACAGAATGAGCTAGTTTCAAAAGCTGTATTATGCAGTTTCCATTTGCAGATTAACAAGTAATGGGGTATCATCCTGCGAATTCATAAGGATAGTAATAAAAGCTGTCAGAGTTAAGGAGGTCCATATAAATCAGCAATCGGGAATACAATATTTTACATAATTTCAGTTAAATAGAATGGAAATCCTTGTGGGTCTCATTTGTATTATGTAATATTAACAACGTGTAAAATCCGTAGATTGCGAATGGGTAAATAATATCTTAAATTAGTTTGGAATATAATCACACCCACATAACCATCGACGCGACTCATTATCGAAAATACAAGCATCTCGAGTGGAGCTTCATCTTTTCGGGAGCGTTCGTTCGTTACACTCCCTGAAAACTTCGTATAATGATGCGTATAATAAAAGTAAACATTTATGACTTAACGGTGGATTGGTAGATATGTTTAAAGGTTGTAATAATACCTGATGTGAACATGTGCGAGGTACACGTCAAATCGAAAAAAAATATTTTGACTATCCATTGGGCTACTTCTCTTTTAACAACAAGTTTGCTGTCATCAAATGCTGATCCCAGCCACAAGAGGGAAGAGAATACGAACATCGACTTCTTTACTTCGTAGGATTATAGCACCATAGTGTAAAAATAAAGGGCTAACGCTTGGTCCACTTACATGAAGTATCTTCATTTTCTTAAACGCACCTAACTTCAATTGTCTAGGCAACATAACATGACAAGAGTGGATATCAAGCAAACCCATAGTCCAGGATGAACACAGATGATAACGAGATCCCATTGAAATGTATAGGAAGGATTCCGCTATAAATGAATATAACAACACGTGTTCTGTGTATGATGCTATTACAGAGCTTCATCATTTAAACTCGCAATAAAACGGAAAGGGTAACATCATTACCCACTTTCACAAACTGTTGTATCTCTCACCCGTATTTTAAAAATATATTCACCCTTAAACCCCTTCAAACTTTATACAGTTCAAATAAAAAATAAAAATTCATTTCAAATCACTTTATCTGGTACCTTTAGCCTACACAGTTTTTCTAAAAAAAAATCTAAATCAAACCACTTTGTTTTGCCTTCACGCCTTAAAGTTTCACAACAACAAACAAACAAGAATACAACTTCGAATAAACTTACCTTGGTCTTCACAAGTTCTCCACAGACCAGAATAAACACTTCTATAAACTACAGTTTTATTTTGTTCAGATTCTATTGTTTGTTCTTTAGTATATAACCAATAGTCTGTTCCCACAGCTATAGCGAGTAACCCGAATGCTGCTCCGGCACAAAAACTCGTCATGACCGTTAAAAAACGCTTCTTAGTACAACAATCCATGATAGATGGTCACTCGGTTCCCTGATCCCGTATCCTCCTTCACTCCCAAATAAAATCCGTGAGTCCGCCAGTCGACACTCAAAGATACAACACATCTGTATTCTTCCAAAAACTTGGAGAACAAGAAAATCTTAATTTATTTTCAATTGTATTAAATTTATTTTTCCACCTCTATATTTCACCGTTTTGTATTTTCTTTATAAAATATATATATAAATACAAATAACGCACACAACTCTACACAATGTGGGACATTACTCTCCGGTAAGAAGTCAAATCAAAACCCCTTAATCTATTCAAAATAATTAACGAACAAAAACTGATGTTGAAACGGCAATTGTGAATAATGTGTAGATGATTTTCTTTCTTTTACAAAAAAACCAAAAAAAAAACACGCAGCAATTATTTACAACAATTTAATTAGGAATAAGAATGAAATCAGACATTTTTGGAGCTCATTATTCGGTCTAATATTTTTAAAAAATCACTGACAAAAAGACGATAATTCCGTAGTGGTTTCAATTTAATCCAAATTTTCGCCGATAGCAGAATCGTCCAACTTATACTGACACCAGACACTGTTGATTCGTAATTTAAAATACGGACAGACAGCAGACGACACAGAGCTGATATTTTAAAAGATATACGAACGTCATCGGCACAAGTCTCCCCTAAAAACACATTGAAACCCCTATCTGATATCGCACACCTATTAATTAACTCAATGCAATTCCTTACAACCTTTCCACTTTCCTTCTGGGCTCTTTCAGTGACAGCTCCGCCATTTTAGTTGCCTGCACGAGCGGAAGACAGGATAGTGCTGGGTATATGAATGCACGCATGCGCTGTTAAAGGAACTAAAGATTTGGAAGAAGGTCACGTCGTGTATAGGATATGTTAAGATGGTGAATGTAAGAACGTGAATCGTTTCCTTTGTACGAGAGAGATCTGGCGTTGTAACAAGCATTGTAATTAGTCGGAATCGAGTGGAGAGTTTGTGAGATCTAATATCATTTATGGTTTTATTAAGACGAAGTAACGGTAGCTGGGATTAACTTTAACTAATAACGATGAGGGAATGGTCGGTGGTTTTTATACGATGTTGATAAAGATGGATAGATGATGATACGCTGGAGGCTGATATCAGGATCAATAACACTGTCAAATATAACCGTCTATCACTCACACCGCCGCCATTCCATAACCCCATCCTACAATCACTATAACACTAGTAGTCTTAACGCACAAATAAATTACAATAACTCGATTCAAATTCACAATTTTCTAACAAAAAAGTCGGCAGTCAGGGGAGCTGTTATCGATTGGATGCGGCGTGGTTAAAATCTTCTCGTACCGTTTAGCGGTACAATATTCTACATGTAGTCGTTTGGAATCATATATTGGCGCATTTTAAATAAATATCACTAAACGTCTTAAAAACTTCATTGCTATTTTTGACATACTAGTTAACAGTCGATTCGCCTTAAAGCATGATGTGATCCATCTCATTTTTTTAAAACAAAATTACCGTATCACTTTCTTTTTAGGTGTTTGATTATTAATAGAAAACAAATTAATGTGGTTTTGTGTATATTTTAGTATGTAATCGTTCAATAATAGAGGGAATAAATACTTTTCAGATATTCTTTTGTAGTCTTCTGCACTCGGGGTACGATTAAAAATACATGCCCTTGTCTGGTGTTCTAGAATTTCATCCAAAATGAAACGGTATGGTGCATAATTTACACTTATGGACTTAAAACTTATTTTTGTAGGTGTTAAAAGGGGTTTATTTTTTAAATCATGTTTTCCTATTTCAACACCTTTTGGATCTTGCATCTCGACTCGGGGTGTGATTAAAAAAACATGTTCTAGACTAGTGTTCTATAACTGATTCCAAAATGAAACGTTATGGTCTACAATTTACACGTTAGGACAAATATAACCTCAAAATTATTCTACTAGCCGTTAAAAGGAATCTATTTTGATAAATGCGGTAAGGGGTCGTTTCGATGCGAACTAGAAACTCGCATTCGCACATCAAGGGCAGAATTTACACCTTAATAGGGTTGTGGGTAATTGTTTGATAAGAGCCACAAAAGGTGTAAAATACACTTAAATATCTGATTTATTTAATGAAAAGTTATTCAGTAAACTGCGTTGAAGTCATATCGATTCCTTATGCAGTTAATGATACAAGAATAGGAATCAAATTTTGATTTCTTTCAAACAGTGATCTAATTTTACCTACAACACAAAAGACGGTGTCTAGTCCACGACTTGTATTGATACTTGTAATGAATGGAATACCAGTGAACCCAGGGAAATGTAAAATATAGATAAACCATATCAAACTAAAAAATTTTTTGCTAGCGTCGGTGTCTGTCGGTAAAGTACAAAATCCATTTTTGATATTATAGTTCAGTAAAAAGTCCAAATTTCATTTTTCACTTAAGCTTAGGAGAGAGAGAGAAATGGAGTTTAACGTCCACTCGACACAAACTAGGTCATTTCGGGACTAACATATGGTTTAATTTTATTTCAATAATTCGCTTGCGCGTAGGGGTCTTTAGCAGCGGGAGGAAACCGGAGGACCCAGAGAAAACCCACGAGGACCTGCATGTTCAAACCAAGGATGACTTATCGCTGCATGGGCGTCACACATGGTGGGGGGGGGCTGAATATACTTGGATCCCCCCCCCAAAAAAAAAAAATTACATCGTAGACCCTAGCTAACTCCTATTTATTTACAACAATTATTAGAGTTAGTTAAGATTCTATCTGTATAAAACAATGTACACATTAAAACACAAACACTTATGTTTACTTTTTGAAATCCATTTATAATACACAAAATGTACAAAATACAACTTTCTTGTAAATGTCAATGTGTATATGTATATAGTATTGTAGTTAACAAGGTGATTGTCAAATATGCCTTATCATAAACTAAAGTTATGTGATCAAGTTTTGTTTCATTTGGATCCTCCTCATAAAAATTCCCCTACTAAACTCTCTTTGTCATGTTGTTCATAACTCAAGCGTAACATTCAATATGTAAAAGTTATGAAGAAAATATGAATACGGCACCCCCTGACTTAAACATGATAAACATTGTATTGGTGTGATGTTTTAGTTTAACCCCGTATGCCAAGACAGTGTTTACAGCAGACTGAAGCTTTAAACATTTTTATGGGGGTGCTACATCGGCGTCACAGATTGTCAACATTTTATATAGTTTCATTTGCGGACCCCCCCCCACCAATATATATTTCACGGCTACGCCTCTTGTGTCACTGGCAGCTCAACTTTTAAGAATCTGTAGAGCAAGCCGTAATGTCTACTCAACACACATCCTCGGTATCCCAGTGTACTCATTCCGTTCTACTCCACTATACCCTGGGTTAATCCATAGGGTTTCCACGATTTCAAATTATCTGCCCTGGCCTTGATTGTAGCTATAGTCTACGAACCAATCAAATAACAGTTTACAAACCTGTCGTTTCGCCTTCGTTTTTATAAGGGTAGATAACCATATTCATGTCCAGATAATGAATGATTTATGTAAGTAATGTATATATTTCTAATTCATTTATATTTTGTATTATTAAAATCTGTAGTATGTTTCGTTAATTTCAAATATGTATAACATCTATATGTTTGACTTTTCCTATTATTATTACTATTCGTTCTTTGTCTGAAATGTTTCATTCTGTTATGTTTATTATTATTGAACTTATACTTGGCAATTTGATTCACATTAACTTGTCTACGATATCAGGATTCTCCATAAAATTCTTGAACCTACATAAACGCACGGTCTTCATTAATATAATATTATATAATTTGTTGTTAATAAATACGCATTTAGAATAATTTGGACTTCTCTCATTTAGGCTAACTCCTAGCCTTGTCCGTTGAGAGTTACTTCCCTTTGCAATTAATGATTTATGAGATTGTCGATAAAAATAGCGCAACCATTAGGGGCGGATAACTTGAAAACGTGTCTCCCCCATAGATTAACCCAGGGGTTAGTGGAGTAGAACGGAATGAAACCACGGGGGATACCGAGGGTACTCAACACACCGATTCGGTCAGTTTGAACTAGAATAATTTTACTCGGACTGTAGCGTATCAGCCTACTCTTCTGTGAATTCTAACTGTCAATGGTTGGTTCTTTTGCGTGCTTGCCAATATTTTACACGATGCCACCCATGACAATTTAAGACTGACCGCTTTTGCACGAAAATATGCAGCACGCGCCAAAATGAAATGGAGATTTGACTGCAAAGGTCCTTAATGTGTACAACGCAAAAAAGTTCATAAAAAGTCATTAAATATTAGCATGTGTTATTCTACAAATGATTCTATTTCAATATGCTTTACCCGCTTTAAAAATGTTAAAAATGTATTTCTATTGGTTCGAATTTAGCTCCATTTCGCTTGTATTTTGTTAAATCTTTGTGCATTTTGTCATCGAAGGTCAAGTGTGCCCATATTTCAATCTTTCAAGGTCATTTAATTTCCTATACTTCCGGTAAAAGTTGTTGAGCTACAGGATTAATGTGATGCTTCATATGGTTTATTTGACATCTTTCTGGTAATCCAGCTGAGTTCTTTGATAATTGGCCATCTATTAAGATCTAAATTTACCCACAGAACTGTATATTCAGTTGACGTCTTTTTCAAATCAGATACTCTCACTGGTCTCATTCGCTCCATCCAAAATATTTTCCGCTTCTACAACAACGACTATTTGCCTGGAAAAAATAGTGTAGAAATATGGCAACTGGCCGTTTGCAATTGCCAGTCAACAATGCATCTTGCATACTTTCTACGAAAAGTTAAAGGTCATTTTCCTATCAGCCATTTGTATCATGTACGAAAGCCGTTGTCTCTACAGATAATTGACGCTATTTGTCTGGACAGTTATTCATTGTAGTTGACGCCGAGACAATCTGGACACAAGCGATCGGGAATAGGGTTGTACATGGCTGCGTTTTCTCAGCCAATCGTAAAGTGTACGAAACGCTTTGACGTCTTATAGATAACCGATGTGATTTTGCCCAGACAAATATTCTTTATGTAGTTGTCGTTGGTACTCCTGAAAGTGGTAGAATATGCCATTGTTCCTGTTAAGGACAATAATAAAACTTCCATATGTTAAAATGCTTTTTAAAAGTAATTTTCTAATTGACAATCGATTAAAATGCTGTCCGGCATCTCCATATCTGTAATGGTTGAAAATAAGTCCTCTACAAAACATTTGGAAAGACAGGGTTCCAAGACTCCCCAATATAAATTGAAAGTAATTATGACTGCTAAAGTGTACTGCCTCATGTACGATACCCATCTCAACCTGTAATTTTTACGCTAAAATGTTACTGAGTCGTTAAACACCATTCCATTCTGATAACCGGTAGCTAGAAAGATCAACACGGCTGTAATCAGTCGGGAAAGAAATTGCTAAAAACTAAAATAAACATTAATTTGCGGTTTGTATGAGCTTTGTACTAATCACATTCACCTTGTGTCACTTACATCAAAGTCGGGATATTGTTATTCAGCTTTCATCTTACTGTGTATTAAATCTCGAGAATAGACACAGACAAAAAATAAAACCAACATTTGCTGTTGTTATCCACACTGTTACTTGTTGTAAGAAGTCCTAGAAAAACGAGCATTAATCGACCAACATCAAATATCTTATTCACAGTGTAAAATAGGGATTTCCATCGGCTTCTCCATTGAGAATTGTGAGAAAAAGAGTAATGGTATTCGGCGCCAATAAAACATTTCGGTAATGCTTATATATGGA